AAAAAGCTGGAAGTGGCATTGTGGCTCAAGTGGTAGAGCGCTAGCCTTGAGCTGAAGAGCTGAGGGACACACCTAGGCCCAGAGTTCAGGACCCACGACCGGACCCCCCCCCCAAAAAAAAGAATATGATCAAAGTACATTAGATGCATGTGTAGAAATCTCATTTTTTTACAATAATATATACTAATTAAAGTTAGAAGACATTGTTTTATATGTTGTTAGATTGCTGAATTAGTTCAATGACCATCAAAATGAAAATCTATTATATAGTTTGAGAATAGTCTTTATTAAACAGACATGTTTGCTCTCTAATTGAGATGAAACTAAATTTTAATATGTTTATTCTTTGCCTTTTTCTTTAGTAACTGAGGCCAATGCTGATTAGATTGTTGGATTTACACATCCACACACATCTCATGAGAGTAAAACCCAGGCAGTCTCAATAGAACAAGAACCCATGGGCTTCTGGCTAGAGATAGGGTTCAGAGTTGATAATCCAATCATTCCAGGGAACTAATAGGGATCACTAAAAAGTGATGCATTTGTAAATGCAAGAGTAAGCAATGGATAGAATAGAATCTGAAATATAGAAAAGATTATGGCCAGTAAATTAAAAAGGCAACTTGATAATATCTTGAGAAGAAAAACTAAAATAAAGAAAACTAGGTCTTTCATGCAGTAATCAAAAAAGAAAAGAAATGCTCATCAGTATATTATTTCTGAAATCATTTTGTTAGTTGTGTAAATCTGTTGACATTTTTTATTGTTGTTTCATCCATAGTAAATTCTGAAAGTCCAGCTAATTTTACAACTCCAGCCACCTGTTGTATGAATAACAGGTAGATCTTGGCTCCCCTTGGTGTCATTGAATTACATTTTTAGATTTTTGTAACATTTACAACAGGAATCGATATTTGTCTTAAACTAGAATAAGCCAAAGTATTCTCAATAATGTATATAGACTAGCGTCTTTTACATATGGCCATATATCTATATGAGCGATAAGAGGTAAATTCACCAAAAATCTCTATGAGGAATGACCAGACCAGACTAAGGTACACTACTAAAGATCTTTAGGGGAAGATTTTTTTGTCACAAATCTATATTTGGCAGATTAAGTGAAATGCACTAAACTCCAATTAATTAAATAATGAGAAATAACAGAACTTCTATGAATTTTTGAAATGTTCTAATTATAGATATATATTACACATAAAGCATTTAGAACAGTGTCTGGCACACTGTAAGCACTTTAAAATTGGTTATTGCAGGTTAATAATAAATTATTGTTTCCTCAGCTAATGCATCATATTCATGTGATTACTATATGTTTTCATTTAAATACTTTATTAACCCAAATGAATATTAAAATTCCAACAAAAGTCCTCCACTGTAAGAGTTATTTGATCAAATTAAATGGAAATTATTTCTCTATAGGAGGAAGAAAGTGCCTTTTTTACTTACTCATGCAAAAGAGGTCGGATAACAGTGCCACCCTTGGCATGAACTTCATGCATTTGTGTGTAGAAATAGGGCAATAAAGTGTATCTAATCTCCAGGACATTCTTTGACATTTCGGCAAAAGATGTATTCCAGGAAACGGGATCTTGTCTCTAAAACAAAACACAATTAAGTAGACATAAATTATTATCTCTGTTTAATACTTACATGGAGAACAAAATAAATTTTATGGATTCTCTGTGATGTTATCTGTACCTCTTCACAGGAACCATGTGCTAGGATATTCCTACTTCATTTGATTTAAGAAATAGATGTCAGTATTTTACTATGCCAAGTTGTCCCAAGGCTAAACCTACACAAGTAAAAGTTTTCCTTTTAATAAATGAGAACAAATACATAGTCAACAATGATGCTACTCAATGGCAGAGCAAGTCATCTGGGATGGAATTAATATGATTGATAATGCTATGTCATAATGCTATACTGAAATAATGAAATACAGAAGGTTTCATGGTGCCCACATATTATACCTCTCATGAGATATGAATAGACTATAATACTAAATAACTAACATCCAAAGGAAGATAGGGTGCAAGGCGAAGTTAAAGAACGTGTTCAAGACTCGTCTGCAATGCCTACTCCATGAATCAAGACTAAAACTGAGAATTCCAAAATCTATATATTTATCATTGTCCCTGTGAGTAAAAATTTAAGATAATGATAACTATTCTATTTTGATAGCAGAGATACAAGAGCTTTTCAGATTTATATTATATTTATGGAGTTGGCCACTTCCCTAGATTTGGGGAAGAGAAAGTTTGAATGTTGAATTAGTGATAATTCTAGTTTCCAAGGGCTAGGATCCCAATAGACTTGAAAGTAAAAGTCGACCTGGAAATATTAAAATGCATACAAAATACTATTGCTACTATTTGCAGAGTAGAGTAAAAAAGATCATAGCTAAACAATGTATTCTTTTTGAGCAGAATACTAAGATTTTGAACTCAAAGCCTGGCTTTTGTGGCAAGCAATTGTCTCTTTAAGCCACCTTTGTCAAAGCTTTGTAGTTTAGTTATGCTGTGGATAAGGTTTCATAATGTTTGCATTCCGTTCTTGACTGAAATACAACTATGAAATATGGGATTCCACAGGTAACACTACACTCAGCTGATTGAGATGGTTTCTTGCTTACTTTTGCATAGGCTGATCTTCAACAGAAAGCCTCCAACTTTTTCCATCTCAACTATCTGAAATTACAGGCATAAGCTACCACCTTCAGTTTCCACCATCCATTCTTAAATTTGAGTCCACGGAGTCATGTTTAATTGAAGTGAAGTTTCTCTTCTGCAGTTTTGATTCATAAAAGCTCATTCTTTTTCTCCTATTTTATTTAGTCTGTCTTCAAAAACTCCAACCATTTTATGAACTTGCAAATGTTCCTTATACCTGAAATTCTCTTTTCCACATTGATATTGGCCCTTTTCACACACTCAAGTCTTTGTTCCAATATCACTTCAGTCAAAATTCCACAGAACACCACAAAGGTCTATCATTTAAACACAGGTATTTACATCCAACATAAGACAACTTTTCTCTCTCTCTCTCTTTTTTAAGTCTCTCTAGGACATAATGATTCATTGGGAATAGCCTGTAGATATTTGATGGTAGACTTTGAGTAAATATTATTTAATCAGTCCATGTCCGTGCTTTTATTAATCCATACCTTAGTCCCCAAATACTACAGCCTTCTGAATTGTATTATTGACAGCCAGGTTTCTTATTTAAACACCCCTAATTCATTTATTATGTATCTACTCTGACTTTCAAATGTGGGAACTATCCTGTCTTTCCTCATTGAAAGCAGCTGCCTTCAAACCTATTATGATAAGAATTTTTCTTATTCCTGTTTTTTCCCTACTTCTTCACTGAAGTGATCAGCAAATGTTGCAGTGAGATACTTATTTCTTCTAACTTGATAACCTTTCAAGCATTATAGCTGTGTCTTTCATATTCCTCAGTGTGTTATTAAAGGTCAGCCTAGGAAGCTATTTCTCATGAATCCCCTCCCTTATTTTCTTGATTATCAACTCCATATTTATAACATTTTCCTTTTAAGCCTATCCACCCCATCCTTACTACAAATGGCTTTCTTTCCAATTATGTACTTGGAAGCAGGTTTACTTCTTGTTCTTTTTCAGTATGAAAGAAGTTCTAGAGGCACATTATTCTCTGGCTGCTACAAAATAAAATTGTACTGAACTATTATAGTAAAGTAGATTAACTAATCCTGCCATGTACCCTGAAATAGAATGAAGAAGTTTTTCGGTAAGAAAATTCTCCAGTGTTGTGACAAGAGGTATCCTTCATAGGTCTGAAGAGATTCAAAGCATTAACACGGAAGTCAGTCAGGAGGGATACAGTCTTCTGAAACATATCTATTTTTGGCTGGGAGAAAAGGCTGGAGGAATCACAAGGATGACTTACTCGAGTAAATGCGATGTTGTGATTCCGAGAGTAGGGATAGAAGGCCCCCAGCTGCGTCCAGCGAGCACAGAGGTGGTATTCGGAATTGTTAAAGAAACCACAGATGTCTGCTCCAGTCTGAAAGATAGTATTGTATTTAATTTATTTTGAATAATAGGTTTTTTAAAGTATATTTATTGCCAATGAAGACAAAATAAACAGACATACTTACATATGATATTCCAAAGAGACTAAACTCCATCATACCTAAACATTAGAAACAATAACTTTAGGAAGCTAAATATTATATATTATAAAATTATTACTTCTTTTAATAAGCTTACTATCTTTTAATATCTACTCAGTTTCAGCGAAATTAGTTTGGATTATTCACATGTGCCTCTCCAACTTCTTATAAAGATTCAAGCTTTTTTTTACTTTATAACATTAACAAAGATTATAAAAACAAGTTATTTATAAAAATAAGCTTCATTGACACTTGAAATAAGATGTGAAATTAATCAGTTTGTTTCTGCAGCTATGTGACTAAAGATCTTGTCATTAAAATCTAATGAATTATCTCCATTAAATAAAATCTTGTAGGAATTTATCACTTCAATAAAACTATGGTATAGTTCTTTGTTAAAGGAATATGTCTGTACATTGTTTTCCTTAAAATGATCATCAGAAAATAATTTTAAGACAAAATAGAAAACAGAAAAAAATACTTTAAATAACACTACCTAATTTATCTATTTGTATCATTGTTAATGTAAGTTTTTTTTTAATTTTATTAAGAAATGTTGTATTCCTTACCATTTTTCAATGATTTCTATTGCCTACAATCTACAGTTTTTTCCCTATTTCTTATCTTAGCATTAGATTTTTTTCTCATTTCCTTCTCTGTTCAACTACGAAGCTGAGGCCAAAGGGAAAAGACTATATTTTCAATGTAAATCACTTGCATATCATTTATTCTTATTTACAAGCAATATTCTTGATCCTACATTAAGGCTAATATCATTTCTTAGACAGACACACAGACAGACAGACAGACAGACAGACAGACAGACAGACAGACAGACAGACAGACAGATAGATAGATAGATAGATAGATAGATAGATAGATAGATAGATAGATTGATTGATTATAGGTACATTGCTAGGAATTGGCCACTTTAATACTTTAACTCTTTTCTTTAAAACCTTCTATTATCATCAAGGAATTGTACAGTGATATTTCACTTCATCATATCAGTTTATGTTTATCTTAATTCTACTCCACCTCTGCCAATCTCATCCATTTCCTCTAATGCATTAGCTCCATTTAAAAATATATACATTGAATATTATGTTTGCACTTGACTGATCTTCCTCATTGGAACTCGTTTTTAATCATTGTTGTATCACTGATATTTTAGTTGTTCTAAGTCAAACTACTACCAAAAGAATAATGGTGATATAAGTGTTGTCTGAAATAGCACCAAGAGAAAATGTCACAGAACACTTATAACACTTTGGAGATTGTCACATACCAATGATGGATTTGTCCAGATTTTCCCAGTTGGCATAGTTGTCTCCAAGCCAGTGACCCCCCCAGCGCCCGGCGGTGGGATATGTGGAGCGGGAGATGACGATTCCCCTTTTGCCTGTTGTCCTCTGCAATGCACTAAGAGGCCAGGAAGTACTGTGAGCTCTTATTACACAAGGTGTGATCTTCATCTATTTCCACTAAGGACCACTTCATGGAGATGAAGCATGTACATTTATATTGTCTCTTAGTCAAAAAAGTTTTTATAACTCAGTAATAGTTCAACTATTAAGAGTATAATATAACATAAACATTGACATTTTAATAACGTTAGAAAAATAACTAGAATGATCATTTTACAACAATCAGGACCAAAAAAGAAAAAAATAAAGTTTTTCTAAAGAAGGGAGGAAGCAATCTCTAAATCTGGATTGTCTTCTAAGTTGCCTTCACACACAAATAAGAGTGTTAACTGAGTATTTTAAAATGTTCATTCTACATAGATTATTTTTAATAAAATCTATCTACTGATGTTCCAGTTTTTTTAATTATAATTTATGAACATTTAACACTCATATCACAGAAAAGCCATTGTAAAATAATACTGTTCAGAAAAATCATACTAAAGTGCTCCTGTTTAGGAGGATAGACTAAGGGAAATAAGATATTGATGGATGTTAAAAATAAAACTAGAGACCTTATTATCTATAACAAGTCAGATACCATCAAGGCAACAAATTAGGTCATAATTTTTTTGTTTTTCAAGTCTCTGAGGTTGGCTTTAATGTCCTGTGCATTTTAAAACACAATTTAATGAAATAATGCAAATCTTTATATATTATCTCTTTCCTATTCTTACCTTCTCCCATTCTCTCTATCTTTCTCTCTAACTTCCCTCTCATGTCCTGACTGTAGAATATTATAAAATTATTAAATGGAAAAAACTCAATACAATACAAAGTAGAAAAGAATTTGAATTATTTAAAACAATTTTATATGAATACAAACTACAGACTATCTCTAGAGAGCATATCTCAAACTCAGATGCCTAATTAGTAAGACTTTGTTTATCAGCAAGCATTATGGCTAGTATGAAATAACTTTCTTGCTGCAACAAGAACAGCACTGTTTGAGGTAGGGCGTTTATGTATATGTAATAACAGCCTTGAGTCCTTGTAATTTTTAATGTCAAGTATTACCTCTGGTATTCCTTGTATCTCATAAGTTATAAACCTACCACAGTGCTCGGCATCTAAAAAGCAGCTCAAGAATTGTTTTTAATTAGCAAACAACTCAGACCAAATGACAGGAAGCTATGAATATATTAGATAGAAAACATGATATACTAAACCATCCTTTGACAACTGAGACAAAATTGTATATATTCATTAACTTGAAAGAGTTTGCCCACTCACCAGTTACCACATCATAATTTAATTTTTAATATTTTTAGTTAAGTGATTTTAAGATTACATTCTAGAGTCACCATGTTGTTTGGCAGCCAAATTTTTCTAATGTGTTTATTTTTGATGCTCAGAATTAGACATCAACTGCTTCACTTGAAGAAGTTTTATTGTACAGTGTATTAAATTCTTGCTTGGCAGAGAGCAGTCTACATTCCATATTATTGGCATAGTGATGAGTTTGTTTTAAAAATTGAGGTGATTAGGAAGAATATTAATGAGAAGTCTAGGCTCAGTTAGACATGCTGTCATTGCTAACAAATGATTTATAAGCAGTTTTAGTGCAGGGCATATTCTTTGGTCAGTATCATCAAATTACATTATTTGCTTGTCACTGTGCATGAGCCCTTTTCTTGGTAAGCCATACAATAAAATGTTCTTGATGAGAATTTTAAAAAATAAAGCCATATATACATATATACATACATGCATAGATACATAGGTATATAGATACCACATATATGAGGGACCGAGAAAGAGAGAGAATACAAAGATGGATAGGTAAGTAGTCTATAACACAGAAGAAGGTACATGTAAATTGGTTGACAGATACATGATTGATAGGTTGGTAGGTAAATATAAATGGATGTAGATACTTGATTCATAAACGATGGATGGACACAAAGATGTAGATAGGTGGGTTATTGATGACAGATAGATACATATATGTAAACTAGTGAATAAAAGATAGATATAAATAGATGTAGATGTGTGATTAATAGAAAATTGATGAACAGATAAGTATAGATAGGTAGATTATAGATGAAAGATGTGTATAGATGTAGATCAATAAAAGATAGACAGACAGACAGACAGACAGACAGACAGACAGACAGACAGATAGATAGATAGATAGATAGATAGATAGATAGATAGATAGATAGATAGATAGATAATCTTTGATTCTTACTAGGAGAAGAAGTCAATTTCAGAAGACCATTAGGAGAGAAAGAGCTATGAGAGAAGGCCAATGGATTCTCATGATAGATAATATAAAGTTAAGTCCAAACAGTCTAAAGATCATTCAAGTGTGGTCTGTGGCTTACTCATAAGTAGGTTTCATCTGGGACCATCCATAGAGGTTGTGCACATCATAATGCAGCACTGAAGACCCATCGCTGAGAATCTGCTCTGTCTCCATGCACATGGTTCGGAAGTGCAATCCTTCATTTCTCTTTGTAAGTGCTGAAGGAAATCAGGGACAACATTAAAGTAGAATAACTATCACTGAAAGGATGCTGTACCTCTTACCTATATATTCTTCTTTTTTTTCATTTAATTTGGGGGAATAAGAATTGCATCTATTTGTACAGTGTGGTGTTTTGATTCATCAGTGAATTGTGGAAGAGTTATTCCAAAGTTATTAACATATCCAGCACAATAAATTTGTAATATCTCTTATATACAATAAGAATAATATTTATAGTAAGAATCCACTATTTTAAATGCTTTGACATATCTATTATTAATTTTTTCATAATAATTTTATTAAATTATCTTAAGTGAATATGAAGTCATAGATTATTCATGTTCACAATATCACTGAATGAATACCAGAACATTTTCAAGGATATCAAATTATATCCTTGTACACACTGATATATTGTTTTAGCACAGAAATTATCAGTGTTTAAAAATGTGCATTAGCTTTTAATCATTTCCATATGCTTTCTAAGTTTATATTTATAAATATACACACTTAGTCTCTAATTATAACTCAATTACATGAATTTTAATAAACATCTAAGAAACCCTAAATATACTATTTTATGTACTTGGAAAGTGCTAAGTGAACTTTTATTTTTTTAATCTATTTAGTAGCACTAAGCTCTCACCTTGTGTTTTTATCCTTTTATTTTTTAATTTATTTTTAATTATTTGGTCGGTCATTGGGCTTGAACTCTGGGCCTGGGTGCTATCTCTCAGCTCTTCAGCTCAAGGTGAGTGCTTTACCACTTGAGCCACAGGAGGACACAACAATGCTTGATAAGAAATGTATTTATGAACCAATGAGTGGTTCATTGGAGCTAAGAGTCTCATAGACTTTCCTACCCTGGCTGGTTTGAACTGCTATCCTTAAATCTCAGCCTCCTTGAGGAGCTAGGATTACAGGTATGAGCCACTGGTGTCCAGCAAGTATTTTTAAAGATTGTTTTGTCCTTTTATACGTTAGTAGATTAGCTCAGCATCTAGCAGAAAAAATAGTATCTATCTTCCATTTATCCTCACTTTAAAAAACACATAAGTATTTTTTAAATGCTGAACAAAAATTGTTTACAAAAGTCTGGGAAGGTGCAGGCAGAAAAGTCCCTGTGAGACTCTGATCTCCAATTAATCCCTTAAAAACCCAGCAATCCCACTTTTGGGCATTTACCCAAACCTTCACAAACAGGACCACACTAAAGCTATCAGGACGACGATGTTTATTGCAGCATTGTTTACCATAGCTAAGATATGGAACCAACCCAGATGCCCCTCAGTAGATGAATAGATCAAGAAAATGTGGTATACATACACACTGGAATTCTATGCCTCCATCAGAAAGAATGACATTGCCCCATTTGTTAGGAAATGGAAAGACTTGGAAAAA